AGAAAGATTTTTTAGGTGAAAAGGGTATGTTCCTATTATTGAATAGGGAGGCTAAAGAACAGATTTTTTAACTGCAGTTCATTTCTTGTTCCGGTCATATCTGCTTTATCTGCTTTAACTCCCAAATATGCTTGTGGGACATCAATGCAACTCCAAGGAATAAGACTCTTGATGCAATGCAAATTTTTAAGGTATGTACTGATAAAGAAACTTTTAGAATTCCTTTTGTTTGTCTTACTTTTTTCTGCATACATTAGATCTTGTCTCTCAGGTTGTTCTGGATTTTCTTACCTTGAAATATTATGGTTTCTTTGACAATCATCTAATACTTCCAATGTGTAGATTCATGAAGGCATTGTAGAAGACGTAGCATGGCATCTCAGGCAAGAGTACTTGTTAAGTCTCCCTAACTTGTTCCTTGAAGTATTTGGTGAGCATTATGTTCCCCATAGGCACGCTATATCTTTTTTATGCTTCAGCTAGAAAACCCAGACTGGAGGAAGCAATGTATTCCTTAAACCTCGATATTTAACCAATATCTATTAACATCTCCACTCCTTTGAAAAGGGATATAATTGTTCTGTAATGGATTTGACCTTGTACTTTCCAATACATGATTCTACTTCCTAATACTCAAACTTCATATTTTGTAATTTTCTTGGCTAGTGTTTAAATCATAAAATGTGTATTACTTGCAGAATATATTTATCTGATTTATCTGTTGGTAGGTGAACTGTTTAGTGGTAGAACATTACCTTCAAAATGGGAAGATGCATAAAGGTGGATTTTTAGTCCAATGACTGGAGATGTTGCTGGGAAACCATGAGTCCAGCAGCTACAGAGGCGTCCCAAATCAAAAAGCGGGCCACTTGGGCCTCCTGGGATTGCTTACTATCAATTATTTTCTCCTGCTGCACCCACGATTGGAGGGAATGCTGGGAAATTAGTTACAACTTCTCCGTTCTCGACTGGAATGATGGCTACTGATGGTTTATCAATTCAATATGGAGGCAGTGGAAACTTTCCCATAGGTACAGAGCCTTGCATGGCAAGGTCAATTATCATACATGGATCACTCGTTGAAGCATTACTGAAATGCTTAGGTAGTATGTCCGTACAACTAGAGAATTGTATTTAGAATTGTATAGCTTATGCTTTTAGAATTGTATTTTTGGTGTCCATACAACTAGTTAGCTAGCTTTTTCCAGTTGTTTCACATTCTAATGTTCAAGTGTATTG